GTCTATCTAGCCCTTTGCCTAGACCATCTCGAGCATGAAAATGATAAAGTATGTTGGTAGCTGCAAACCACCAAGGCCCTATTCGGACGGCTCCATTCGGGAGAGTCCCAACGCAAGATAGCCGAGGAGCAAAAATTGGAGACTGCCCAAGGACCAAGATTTGGACCAGTTGTAGGCATAGCCAACTTGGCGTCGAAAGATGGTGGCGAGGCTTTCTGTATTCATTCGCAGATGGGCTCGGCTGCCACCACCACCGCTCTTGCTACGTCGTCCTCTGTCATCATCACCGAGAGCCCTGGATGCATCGTGGATTCCAAGTCGGAGAATCTGAATCGGATAATAATTAGATCGGGCGATGATCATGTGGCGTGATGGTGCAAGGCGTGGTAGATTAGGTCTATTGTTGCCCTTTCTGTGTACTTGTGACGTTTTGTTTTTTTTTCACTTTGGCTTATCATGGGTCTTCTTCTTAGTTTACCGTAGCCGCGCTCTCTCCGATACAATCGAGCAGGGTGACGGCCCGCTGGGCTGGGCCTAAAAACTTGCTTGATACTTTAGGCCGCATAAGTATTCGGCCCTCAGTGTCCCACGTTCGGGGGAGAGGGGGCGTATGGGCGCTGGCCACGTGAACTGGGTGTCACGGTCCGCGACGCAAGCCCGCCGTCCCGTGTCGGCGCGCACCGGCAATATTCTCATGCCCGGTAAAAGTCGGGCGGCCGCTGGGGGGGGGGCGCTAATAAGTATTATTATGCTCCTAATTATATAAAAAACGGGGTCGGAGACGGACGGCGAGGCCCACCAGATCGACCTCGGCCGCCGACGTACATAGATGACTGAGATTGTCGACGTATAGCGTATGGCCGCAAGCACGGTGTCTCTGGCTTTACGTCCGTGGGAATCCTGCTTGCGGATCCAGTACCGGGTGTTTAATTGGACACGTCCGAGAAACGACTTTGTGACTTTTGTAGTACGTTGATTTAGGACTCAAACTAGGTTTGGTGGACCAACACGCCATCTGTGTGTGGCTTCACGTGTTGGGTTACATACTAGAGTTGCAGCCTCAAATAAAAAAGCAGACCCTAAAATGGAAATTGAGCTCACGCAAGTGCAAGTACATGTCGGTAGTAGGCTGGAGGAATCTCCGAGGAACGAGGATACCGGTAGAATGGCCCAATTTTGCCAGCTGTGCACGATGTCTATCGACGATTTAATATCGCAACTTTGCCGGCTCCAGCTATCTGGAAGAGGGTATCGAGGCACGATAGGCAATGGCCGGAATTTTTAGACCAAGTTCTACGGCTAATCCCTCCGTCTTTTTCCACCCCCCATTTACAGTCAATCTCACGTCGGAGTCTACACCGGACAAGAAAAGTCCGCACATGACTTGGCCAGGAACCAACATGATGACAAGCCTCCTGTATGCATGCGTCGGCGAAATGGTATAATCATGACCGCTCAAAGACCCTGATTTTACAAGTTCCACTTTATTAGTCTTGGTTGATCTCTAGGATTGCGCAATCCGTCCGTGAGCCTCGCAGCGTCACATGGACTAACACTTATCGGGGCCAGAGCTAGTTCGAAAGTGTCGCAAGTAATATCAGTTGCCAAGACGAGACTACCAAAAAAGGAATGATAAGAATCAAGTTTATATACGGCAGAGAAGCCGAGAGACGATCAATCTGGCTATCAATCATATGTATAGCGTCTTCCTTTTGCATTAGCGAGCCCTCGGGCTATCACGGTCCGAAATTGGCGGGTACGAAGCCAACTAGCCAACCAGCCAACCAACCAACCAACCAACCAACCAACCAAAACCTTGTCTTTTTACGGTGAAAGAGAGGCAAAAGACGAAATAGAAAGACAATTCTTCTTCAACTGCGTGTCGCATCTCAAGACTTGGCTGCCCCATTTGTGATGAATAAAGTTCGAGTTGTGTGATATGTCTCAAAACGCAAAGGTCATACGAGAAGCGCCAAATAACGATAGGGCGTGCCTGACAAGCCGACAGCCGAGTGATGCTCCCGAATTTGTTTGCATGGTTCCTTGTCAACTCTCCAAAACTTGCTTTTGTCGGGTTTTTCGCATTGCTTCCCGCCAGACTGACACTCATGACCAGCGGATATTCTTGAAAGATTTTCGCAAGGGTCCATTGTGCAATACTCCATCAACGGCAGGTTTTGGTTAATACGCACGGCACATTGTGATTTGATCCTGTACATACATACGGCGTAGTATAATATTGGGCGTGTGTGTAATGCAGGGGAAAAGGGGGTGTAGGAGGGGTGTGTGTAAAAGACACCCAGAAAGTACCGAGTACACGCGTTTCTCTTTGGCAGGACTATCCTAGATCCTTAATGGCTTTCACTATAGGCAAGGGTTCTGACACGCCGGGTACTGTACAGTGTACATGCATGCTTTTGCCTCTTGTTAATTACTTTGGTTATTTTACGAATATGTGTTAGATTTTCCTCCGGCTCCGTTCCCATTCCCCTGCTGCAGAGGGGTGTACCAGGAACCATTCACTTTTACTTGCCCCCCTTTCGCGCCTGGCCCCGGACAATGACCGTTGAGGGCGTTGAGGGCCGCTGTACGGACGCTCTCCTTCGATGTTCCCGACGGTTTTTGACACCCATGACAAGACGCCACAAAATGTGAAATCTGCCTCTTGTTTATCTTGTCGATATTAGACATAATAGCCCTTTTGATGCTGCCCCTCCCCAGCAAAGAAATTAGGCGATCTGAGGGCACGTATCCCGGTCTTGCCCATGCTAATTCGCCGAGAAATTCTCGAATTTGCAGTGACAAAAGGCTTCCGAAGTTCCGTTACAATTTTTCTTTCGCTTTTTTTCCTGAATAACTTGATTCATCTGAAATCTTTAAATCGTACCATTTCCCCACCATTTACACCGCATACACCGTTTTTGCACCATAAAGGTCACCGACCCCAGCGGTCTTGGGCTTCACTCGATAACGCAACACCTCTTGCTTGGACTGCGCGCACGTCGCGTAGCAACGACCCCAGCCTAACAGAAAAAAAAAAGCAAAAAAGCGAAGAAAAAAAAAAGAAAGAAAAAATCACCTAGCTAGGTTTTAGCAAGGAGACAGCCTGGATCACCGATACGGGTTGTAACCAATCACACTCTAACAAATTAACAAGACGCCTCTTGTCCGTGTTAATAGTCACACACACCCCCCAGAAACCCCCCCTTCTCCAAATGACAATAAACCACCTTCGTCACAAGGCTTCGTCATGCTGATAATGACATGGGTTCTTCATGTCGCTCAAACAGCCAGAACTCTGAGGAGGCAAAAAAAAAAACGCGACCATACGAGCTAAAAAAGCACGGATCTATTAAGATGCTTGCCCACTAACACGGCTACTGAGTAAATATGCAAATTGACAACTCTCTCAAGAAGAAGCTCGTCTTGGTGCCACTTTCCTTGAGTCTCCCACATTCCAGACTATAATCGTTTACTATAATTAATCTACTCCATCTTTCATGCAAAAGCTTTGTTGGTCATCTCTCTTGCCCCTCTTCTCTCCATCTCTAACAACCCTGTGCAAACAGAGTAACAGAACATGTTCATGCGACGCCACAGACAGAGATGAACAACCTTCAGATGGCGTTGCATCAACGGCGCTCGCCTTTGACAATCCCAGTCCCTGCATCACATACCACCCCGTGTTCTTCTGGGGCTGTGGTGCCTACCAATCGTACCATGTCAAGCATGTCTCTCATGACAGGATATAATTCTCAACTCTGCGATTCCTACCCGGACGGTGAGCATCGCTAGCCTAGCAACCCGGCCAGAAGCCGGACCAAGTAAGATGTACTAGTATCATTCAGCATAAACATATAACTGCCGATGGCCGCGCTGCCCTGGCTAATAGGCATTTGTCCGATTTGGATCGCCGACCCGGGGACGCCGATACACTTTTACGTTGCGCTACTGCTCGTGCACCTCTAGATTGGGCCGCAACAGACAATAGAAGTGATTCACAGTGGATTTTTTCCCTTGGGATGCTACGTAAATCCATTACAAAAGAGCTGTTTTTTTGGTACTCTGAACAGTGCCTGGCAGGTGCCGCACCAATGACGGCCGCGTTCTTTATTGCGTGCTATGCTCCCTTTCCGATCCAACCCGGCGGCCCCCCCCCTCGAAACAAACAGGATCAATCTTTTTTTATTAAGCGCCAGATCCTAGTACTGGTTAGTGTCGTACCAGGAGATGACAAGCAAGGTTCGTGCTCGGCGCCCCTGTCTGGCCTGACTCGCGAGCAGGACCGATTGCCAGCCACTGCCGATCTCTATACGCCCAACTTGACTATACTTACACCTCGAATGACCAAGTTGGTTAGACTACCCAGTCGTGAAGCAATCTACTTGCGGAAATGCATAAATATATTCAATTTGATTCATCAGATGGAATGCGTGAATATTCAGAGTGTAATTTGAGTGTTACAAAGCAAAGTGACCAATACCAAAATGCAGAGGAAAGAAATGACAAGGAAGACTCTGAGCAACACGAAACTGAAGAGCATGGAGGAAAGAATAAGTAAAAAAAAGCAACAAAGAAGTTGAGCCCGAGTAGAACCGTACACAAAGTTTTCAATCTATATCTAACAAGATGTACAATTATTGCCCGTCTTTCTTTGAACGGTTCGTGCTACCCGCGGAACATTCTGTCACCAGCCTGTCTTGCCTTACGCCTTTCCGAGGCTATTTTTGCACGTAGCACAAACCGCACACTGGTCTACAAATATCAAAGAGTGAATAGACACCTGAAGCTGACAATGCTTGCGAAACCGTCCTACAAGATGAATGCGCTGGTGACCACCAGGCGTCTGTCGTGGATTCTTTCTTGTTGTACATGACATTTTCCTTCTTTCTTATATAAAAGCCCCCCTCCGAAGTAAAAAAAAACGACACTCTTCTCTTCGATTGGAGAGGAAGAAGAAGAAGAAGAAGAAGAAGAAGAAGAAGGGAGAAGACGGCGACATGTCCTCGCATACCGAAATCATCACCGTGGACAAAACAGAGCAAGCCGCCTCTCCCAAATGGAGGACGCTGCCAGCCGAGATCCAGAGCATGATCTGGCGCTGGGCGGTTCGTCCGACGCACCTGACTATTTTCAGCACCTTTGACCAGGGCATGCTCGAAAACGACGACATCACCTGGGAGGAACTCGAAGGTTGGCTCGTGGGATGGGACTTTGAGTTCCTGGGCGAAAAGATTGCGCGCAGATTCGGCTGCGTGAAGCGCGATGGCAGACCATTCGCCTACTTTGTCGCCAATCCCCCGCCCGTGTACAGAGTTTGCCGCGAGTCCTGCGCGCTTCTCCGGAAACACTATGACCTGAAGCCGGCGACGCCCCCCGGCACGACGACGACGACGACGACGACAACGACGACGATACCGTCGCCGGATGATCTCGACGAGATGGAGCCACCGTCGCTGCTCGAAGCCGCGCTACCGCCCTGGTTCGACCTGAGAAACGACGTGGTCCAGCTGCTGTACCACGACATTGAGGGCATCCTCACGCCCAGCGCGCCACTCGGCGGCCTCTTGCTGCCCGTCCGACGCCTCCGCATCGCCATGCACCTCAGCCTCTGGCAGCGCACCGCGGCCGCGAATTTCAACGACATCATCGTGGCCCCGGAGCGCCTCCTCCGCGTCATGTACGAGATCAAGTACGGCATGCCAGACCTGCGCGAGATCACCTTTGTCGTGGCCGGCCGCGGGCCGGAACCGTGGTGGGCCAACCGCACCGCCGTGACCGTCCTCCACTGGTACGACGTCTTTGAGCAGTGGTGCCTGGGCGGCTCCGTCAGGAGCGGCCCGCTGGCGCCGCCGGCGTCGTCGATACGCGTCGTTCATCGCCACTCCGACGGCACCGAGGAGGAGTGGCTGAACAGGGACAACTTTCTCAGCGTGATGCAGAAGCAGCTCAAGCAGGAGATGCCGGCGGTGCCGGAGCCGGACGGGCCGGGCTTGCAGGAGCTGATGGAGCAGCAGGCGATGCTGGAGAGCTACTATCCCAAGTACAGGGACATTTTGAGGGCCACGGAGCAGGAGCTGGCGAATCCGGCGGCGTTTTTGAAAGCACACCAGGCGCTGTGGCATGCTCCAAATCTCCAGCTTCCCTTTTGAGAAAGGAAAAAGATTTCAAGGAAAGAGTCAAATCTCCCTTGACCATCTTTCGTTTGACCATGGCCTTTGTTGGTAGATATTTGGGGCCAAGCAGCCCGTTGACGTGTAGCATTATAAATCAATACCAAATGAGGCGTTGGTTCTTTGCCACTTTGTTGACAACACGAGCTGCTCAACTCCAAAGTTGGTACAACTACCTCTGCTACTTGATTTATATGCTATATACTAGGCGCTAGATCAACTGATGTTTCGCATTGCTGAGGATAAACTATGAAAATTGCTCGACTTTAATATACTATTGCTTCGCTATGCCAATACTCTGACATATCTAGGATAAATTCGCTTCTACAACTCATTCTCCCGCAAATGTCTTGCCTTTTCTATTCGTAGAGAAGCACACATAAAAGCTCTTTCCATTAATTCTCCCACTTTGTACACAGCTTCCGTCCGGATATATCCAGTTTGGGCTTACACTCGAGTACGACAAACTGCAGCCACACACTTCTTTTCCGCTCGCATTCCACACACGGGAGCTTCTTCGGGCGGCATACTGTGACAGTACAAGGGGCAAAATAGCTCGTTCCGGATTTCGTATGGGTGCCCCCCAAAAGAGGTCATGGGCTGTGAGGTGACCTAGTGGTCTAAAAGAAGACTTCCACTGCCCTTACTAAACACGCGCCTTTGCTACACATCACCTGACCGTAACATGTTCAGAAATCTAATGAGTTTCCTCTTTGTTGTCGACATGTGTACATCACTGTCGATGGAAGAGATAATTGCTTGACATTATCATTGAGGTTCGTAATTATCAACTCTTGTCTATGCAAAATACAAGTCTTTACCTGTGGTATCTTGCGCCTATGCAGAAACAAATGCAATACCATCCATCATCTATAACATAGAGTTCCAACATGAGAGAAAAGAGAAGAAAAAAAAAGAAAAAAAAAAGAAACGCCGACGCTATGCAGCTTTGTACAGATAAATGGCCATCTCCTCATCGCACATACACCGGAATGCCATACACCACAACGGCCGCCGCATTTAGGTATCGGAATCGACATGCGTCTCTCGCCTGCGCCACTGCCTCCACCAGCGACCTCGTCGTCCCCTCCACATCAACACTCTGGCATTGTTGTTCCTGAAACGTGCCTTTGTTAAACAGTCCCCATTCCTCAAATGCGCGCCCCGCGAAGCGATCAATGTCGCGGTCCGTCACGTCCCACAGGGTACCGACAACCGCTGGGCAACCAGCCATCAAGTAGTTCCACACGGGACCGTAGCACTCAAACTCGCCCGCCTCGGTGAGTGCCGCAGAGCTGCAGCCCATGAGAAATGACGCGGGCTTGCACTTCTCCAGCTTGCGAATCGTCTTGCCGCGAATGTACTGCGCGCCGCTCCCGTGGCCAAAGTACAGAAACACGTCCGACGTGCTGAGCGCCCTTTCAAACTCGTCCTCGTGAGGGGCCCGGTTGACAATGCTCGTCCAGCCATCCAGGGTGGCGGTAAAAGGCTTTTGGAAAAAGCTTTGCGTGCTCTTTAGGTCGGACGACGGGTTCAGCATATAGGTGCCGGCGGTAGAAGAGACGTAATGGCCGGGTAGGGAGTCCCAAGAAGCCGCCTTGTCCTTCGGTGGCATGTTGGACTCTGTGATCAACTGTCGCAGACAGGCAAGGGACGGCACACGAGACACGGCAAGGCCTTCCATGCAGGGCAAAGACTCCCAGGGAAACACATGCAGGGCCTTGTCTAGAACCAGAATCGTGTGCGCGCCGTCTTCACGGGCTCCTGCACCTTCCAGGGCACCATAGTACCCCTTGAGCGCGTCATACACTTCGACGACCATGGCGTCAAAGTCGATTTCATCATACGCATTTCGCTCTCCGTGAAACTGAAGAATATCCACAATAAAGTAAAGCAAATCATTTAGAGCCTCGTCAAAATCGCAGCCGGGATCGTTGGTAGGGTCGCCCAGTCCGATGAATAAGTCGAGAATCCTGGGATCGAGAGTAACGCCTGCCTTGCCCGTCTTCTTTCCCCGTCGCTGGCTGCGAGAGGGCAGATGAGCGTCGAGCATCTTTTGCACATTCTTCTGGAAACGAGCCAGGAGGTCTGAGCGGCGTCGATGCTGGGAAAAGATTCCCTTGAAACCACCTAACCAGGTGGTTTCAATTTGCGTCAGACACTCCTTCAGGCGCGTATCAAGAGTCTCGCGCTCAGCCCACCACGCATTCCGCTCGCCCTTGAGGCTAAAGTCACGGGCAGAGTGGCTCGTCTCGTTGGCTAGCTCGATGATATCCAAAAGCTCCTCCTTGCCATGCTCAAAGTTGTATACTTCACAGTCGGCATCGCGAGAGTTGGCACGCTCCAAAGGTAGTCGAAGAATAAACGGGCTGTGACCAGCCTGGAACTTTGTCAAGCACAGGTCGTGGTGGTTGTCGCTGAGAGACACCGATATCACACTCCAATTTTTGGGAACCATCTCGATGTAGCTCTTTTGAAAATTAGCCATGTCGGCGCTCGGGGCTAAGCTAGCCCTGCGAGAACCAACACTCTTTCTACAAGGCTCTTCAGCGATTGCTGTGGGTGCAGCGAGAGTCTTTTGCTCTCTGCGCCAGGTCACATTGTGCGCCAAGTCGACAGCAACAGTTGCCAGTCCGGAATGGGCAATAGATTTATGCTTTGCGCCAGATGTAGCCGACAGGAGAATAATCGTATTCTGAAGCATGGCGGAGATGCGTCGAACCATGCTGCTGTCCGACTTTGTCATGGCGGATATGTGTGCCTCGGCAAGTAGTTCCTGCGCCTCCTTCAGTGCCTCTGCGAAAGCTGGAGTATCTTCACTTTTCATCGTCCTGCCGCGACTGGCTGCCACTGGTCGCCCACGCTTACCGGGCGATTTGAACGGTGAGCAGCCATCCGCAATGACCTTTTCAACCAGTCCAGCGATAGCAGGGAAGGAAATGGTCGAGTCTTGAATCACGGAAAAGACAGGATCTGAAATTATCTGCTCCATACTGTGCCCGATCAGCGACGTCGCTGTTGCCACCTGTTCTTGATAGGCTGTAATTTCTTGCTTTGGGAGTTCCTTGCTCTGCTTGAGCAGAGCAAGAGCGGCAGTCCACTCTTGCTGACGAATGAGGCCTGTGGCGCGCGAAAGAAGGATAGATGCAAGTAGCGAGCCTTGGAAAGTATCGGTCGGCTGTTGAGCAGCTTTGGCCACCGGCGTGACTGCTCTCGATGTTGCCGCAGCGCGCTTAGTAGCTCGTGGCTTGGCAGGTGTCTTTGTCTTTGTCGTTCTTGTAGACTTGGTTCTAGAAGGTGCTGGTGTGGCTAATTCACGCGCAGTAGCCTCTTCTTCCTTCTCTGAATTTGTATTGTCGTTGAGGCCGCGAGTACCCATCTCGGCCATTTTCAGGTATTCGACAGCTTTGTCATTCTCACCGATATGTGAGTAGTATTCTCCAAGAGCCTGCGCAAAGCGAATCTTGGACGCCGACATGACTTCGGGCATCATATCAGCTAGCGTACCGAATCGAGCGGCAGCCTTTTCTTGGTCTCCTGCTCGAAGATAAATGGAGCCGGTCCATGCAGCCACCTCTGCATTGTAAAGAGTTGATTGCGAGTTGGCGGCAATCTTGGAAGCAGTGTCGGCATAATAGATGGTTTCTTGAAACATGCCAATGTGGGCGTAAACGGAAGAAATTTGCAGAAGGCTGCGGATAAGAGGTGAAGCCAAAGCCCAAACTCGTGGTCCAACAAGGCTAGCTCTGACGTCCTTGACGGCAACAGAGTCCAAGCTTGTATCGGACAGTACAGAGTTATTACCAACAACAGCGGATTCAAGCTTTGTCCAGTCATGTGAGAGTATGCGTACGCTTTGCTTGATGTGATTCAGGGCTTCTTCCACGTTTCCAGATTGCAGAGCGAGGGACGACTGCAAAAGCGAGACTGAGCAGATCGTTGTTGTGGCTTGAGCCTTATTTATGGCCCAAGATGACTGCGAGCGGCGGCAGACAGCATTGAGTTCGGAGATGGAAAGGTTAGCGTCGTCCATATTTCCAATACCGGTGAAATATTCGGCTTGCGCCATGTTGTAAGCCACAGAGACGCTCGGCGCCACTTCGTCTTGTTGCTGAAGCAGGCCTTTGGCCTCGTCCAGAGCATCTAGCGCCTTGGTGTAGAGGCCAGTGCTAATAAATTGAGAAGCCAGCTGGCTCTGGCGGACAATAAGCGCGCTGTTTGTCGCCTGTCCGTGACCGGCAAAGAGCTTGGACAGGGACACTAAAAGCTGCGAAGTTTTCAGCTGCAAAAGATGTTCGCCCCTCAACCCAGCAAGGTGGCCAAGAGCCTGAAGATAGTCTTGAAGCGCTTCAGGATCGTCAATAACCTTGTAGATGCTGCTGTCGATCTGGCAGGATCCAACCATATCGGTCCAACTGTCGATGGCCTCTGGAATGGTCGACTTGGAGAGTTCCTCTGCATCCAAGACTGCTTGTACGCTATGATGCCAATTCAAAAGATGCGGCATGAAGCCCGTCAAGCCCTCGTCTTCGGCCCTGTCTTGAGCCTGAGCTTGACGGAGGCAGACTTGCAGGTGCGGGTGAAGGACTGCTACTTCATCCTCGTTGCCCAGATTCTGATACAAAACGTGAAGCAGTACGCGCAGTCGTCGAATCGGATATTTGTCGGGGGTGTAAATGCGGAGCAGCGCATTCAAATTCGGGTCATGAAATTGCAGAGCGCTGCGGGAGGTGGTGCTGAGGTGCATCAAGTGCTCCAAAACAGCGGCACGCTCAGTTTCGGGCAGAAAAATGGTCCAGTCCGTCCAAGACTTGTCGAGTTTGGCAATTGATCGAAGAGTTCTGGACAGCATGCTCGACTTGCCGTTCATGTTCCATGCTATGGTAGGGGCTTGGGTAGCCAGCGCAGCAGAAACGTCCTTTAGAATACCATCTTCGGCCATACTAGTGCATATCGATCTCAACGTCTGCACTGCATCGTCAGTTCGTCCGGATCCTTTGCACATATCTGCAAATAGCTCTAGTTTTGTCGAAAGCTGCGCCCGCTCTCTTTCTGCCGCAGAAAGATCCTTTACAGTATCGATGGAGCGGCTGAGCGTCTGCAAAATTTGCTTATTCTCCTCTCGCTTTCTTTGGGAATGCTTTCGAAGCTGTGAAAACTTGGCAAAATATAGACTCGAAATCTTGACCAAGTAGCTGTTTAGTTGCTCAGTCTTGGCAGGTGATTGTGAGGGGTCAGCAAGTGTTTCGAGGAGAGCAGAGCAATGCTGCAGTACCTCGTCAAGCTGTTGCCACTCAGCTGTGGCATTCTGGATGTCGCATTTGACAACCATGAGAGTACCGTCAAGCGTTTGGCTAATGGTCTTCATGACGACTTGGCGGCGCTGGTCGAACTGTAGAATGTGTTTCGGAGGCGCATCCTTGTTTGGGGCATTGCCTAGCCAGCGGCGGACAAAACGGGGGTAGCGAAGAACAAATGCTTTGAGTATATCGTCAATAGCATCGGGAGTGCGACTTGTAGGCTGTGGCGAATTTATTGTTTCCATGAGACGACCAACGACTGCGCGTCTGGCCAGCGACAGGCTGTCGAGTAGCTCATTAAGCTCTGACACAGTACCACTGAGACTTCCGTCCAAGCTTTCCAGTACAGATTTCGCAAGCTCCTCGACGTCCTCCATAGCTTTCGCACTTTTGAGCACCGCTGCGAGAAGCCATGCGCAGATGGAAGCATAACGCACCATGGCCTCTTCCGGTGACTCAACTGTCGACTGCAACTTCTGAAACCATTGAGCAGCTTCGTCATATTTCTTGGCTGTGTACGCAGAAGTTCCAAGAATTTGATAAAGGGAAGAGATGGGCGCAGTCGCTGATAGAGTTGGGATATATCCACAGGCTTTCGCCAGCTCCAATAGCCCATTAACAGAAGCTGCCATGGTTTTGTATAGCAAGACATCGTTCGAGGTAAATCTTCGAGCGAATGCGCGGAGACAGCGTGAGAGTGGCGACAACAGCTCCTCGTCGAGCTTTCCGGAGTGACCTCCTAGTCTCCACCACCGCAGCTGGCAAGTGAATGCTAATGTCTGCAGTTCAAACGCCGCGAGTGGTGAGGGGCTGATGCGCGGTTCCACCGCGACGGCATCCTCCTGGCTGGAAACGCTCGGCGCAAGAGATAGGACAAGCTGCGACAGCGATGCTAGCTGGCGGGCCGCCTTGCCAGCCTCTTTGCTCCCCGTCTTGGCCAGAGCGGAGAGGAGCTTCACCGGAGAGCACGCCTGGGCATCTCGGAGATGCGGAAGCGCAGCTTCGATATGCTCTGGCTTCTTCGAGGACGCAATCAGCTTCAGCACCTGAACCTGGCATGTCGTCACGGCGACCAGGAATTGAGGTGGTATCGGTGCGTGAAAGCTGAGGAGACCAGAGATGGCAGTCGGGGGCTCTGCCGCCGCTGTCTTGGTCGTCTTTGCCTTGCTGAGCTCGAGCTTAGCAACCGCATCTAGTCTTCGATGCAGCACGCGCAGTTCTTTGAGCGCTTGCTCATGCATACCAAGACCAATCAACTTGCCCACGAGCGCAGACATGCCGTTTTCAATCTGAAGATCCGTTTGGTCGTGAGACAGCGAGCCCTTAACGTTGCGGAGGCACGCAAACGCCACGCGCGCGCACTCTGCTGTCGCTAGACATCCCGTGGACGGACTGGAGGACGGCTTCGACGGTTTCGCAGCGATATTGGGCGACGTGGCCACTCGATTGAGGGATCGCGGCTGGATTGGCGACAGCGGCGCCGACAGTGACCGTCGGAGTGTGCGTTTGCCGGTGGACGGGCGTTGGAGATCCGCCTCTGTCAGCTTTGCTGGCGCGGGGAGCGGTTGGGGCTTCGCGGCCTCGGTGAGAGATTTGATGGTGGCATTGATGACGTGCGTCGCCAATGCCGTCTTTTCCTTGGTGCTCAATTGCTCTGTCGCTATTGTTACCGCGCCGGTCCTGGCACGTCCGGCCGTCTTTGTTGTGGTGCGCGCGGTAGCTTTCGTCTTGGACGCGGTGGTCGAGGCGGATTCAGCGTCGGGGAGGAGAAGCTCCTTGAGGGTGACCACAGTAGCCGGTGAGCATGTGGTTGTACTCAATACGGCTGTTTTGACCGCGTCGGCCTTTTCTTGTAATAGAGTCATGGTGGTGGTCGTGTCTATCTGTTATGAGAATGCCGTAATATGCATGTCGATCTTTGAAGCGCCTTTGCAAGAAACGAGCAAGATGCAAAATGAGAACGACAAGTCAGAATGCAGAAACAGGCCTCGCAATGGTAATTGGAGATTCTTCGCCCCCCAAAACTGTCAGTATCGAATTTGTGCAGAGCTTAAAACAATTAAAGATGCAGCTCGGTGTACTTTGCAAGCTCACGGAAGCTACTTGGAGATTACCTTGCATCGATTGTGTGGGGCTAAACGTCGGACGTTGTCTAGGGCAACCGGCTTGCACCGCATGCAAAAAAGGTCCGATCTCGAAAATGCTCCAGCAAGGGATCGACGACTTTGCGCCCGAGTCCAAGACACCAGCCGACACAAAAGGACAAACTCTCGACAAAGGAAGCCCTAATCGTGTCTGCGGGTATATTCAGCATGGGCTTGCCACGACTGGTCGCCCGCGCGACAGCGGTCTCAACACAAACCCCGACGCTTATGCGCCTCGTCGCTGCCGCCGCCCCGCGCAGTCGCATCATCGCTCCCCCAACGATTTCCCCGCGCCTCTACAGCACTGCGTTACCGAGTGTGACCGACAAAGGCTTCTGGAAGTCGCTAATTCCCAAGCCGCTGCGGCGGGAGAACCGGGCGCGGCGGAGGCGCGGCTGGTGGTCCAGGGGGGAATGGAACCCGGCGACGTACTTTATCGTCATGTTTCTGTTTGTCGGGTCCATGTCGATCCAGATGATTGCGCTGCGCAATCAGACGACCCGGTACATGCGGCAGGCGAGCGTGCGGCTGCAGCAGCTGCGCGAGGTGGTGGAGCGCATTCAAAATGGCGAGGACGTCGACGTGGAGAAGATGCTGGGGACGGGCGAGCCGCAGAGGGAAGCAGATTGGGAAGAGGGTGAGTCACTATTTTTTTTGGCCCTTCCGGGATGATGTGAAAGGTTATACTGACTCTGGGCAGCTCTGCAAGCGATTGAACGAGAAGAGGCAATGAAAAAGTCGACGCCAAAAGAAGCTGCGAAGCTCAAGAGTGAAGACGCACCACAAGCAACAAAGGCTGCCACTCCAGGCCAGAACTCGGAACAGACATCAACGAAAAGCACGGGGTTTGGCAACTTCTACTAGTCAGAGGAAGAAAATGCAATGTTTGATTTATAAATGCATAGTCTATATGGGTGTGAGTGTATCATGTTGTACAACAATTTTCATGAGAGCATATCTTTGAATACACTGGAGTTTTGTCTTAGTACATATGGGGCAGCCTCATGGTGATGATGAGCGGCATCTTTACGCAACTCCTCCATGAGAACAGGCAAGAGCTCATCTGTCATCAACTCAGTGCGCACGCCCAGCTCTCCTTGCTGGCTGGGGTCGAGGTCCGCAAAGAACTGATCCTCGCCGCGAACGCCGCCGGCGTTGATAATGGCAATGGGCATGCCGCGCGCCTTGGCCTGCTTGACCAGGCGCCACGCTGAGTACGTCGCAAGCGAGGTGCCCATGACGAGCAGTCTACCCGAAGCATTGACAGCGTCCTCGGCGGCATTCTTGACGGAGGCGGCGATGCTCTCGCCAAACATGACGACATTGGGCTTGAGAATGCCGCCGGTGCTCGGTGCCGCCCACGCGCCGTCCTTGTCCGTCTCGACAATCTGGCGGTGCGAGTCGCTGCCGACCTGTGGCTTCTCCAGGCACTTGGGGCAAGGCGGGTATCGAAAGGTGGTGTATGGCGCTTCAGGCAGGTCGACGTCACCGTCGGGGTTGGCCTTGATGCCGCGACGACGACGCTGGGCCGGATCCTCTGAACTGAGCGCGCCCGTCTTTAGTGCCTCGTCGAGAAAAGCCTTCCAGCGCGGATTCAGGCGGGCCAGCTCCTTTTGAAAGGCATTGCGGTCGAGCTCCGACTTGCAGCTGGTGCAGACAACGGTGCGGAGGTAGCCGTGGAGCTCGACGGTCGGTATTTGCGGGTGCGCTTTGGGATGAAAGGAGTCGACGTTTTGGGTGATGACAGCGCTCAACAGGCCGAGGGCGCCCATGTCGCGGACGGCATAGTGGGCGGCGTTGGGGGCGGCGTTGTGGGTGGTCGACCAGCCGAGGAAGCTGCGGGCCCAGTAGCGCTTGCGGGCCTCGTGGCTGGCAAGAAACTCGTGATGGAAGATGGGGCGGTAGGTCTTGTTGACGCGGTAAGTGCCATTGACGCCGCGATAGTCGGGCAAGCCGGAGGCAACAGAGAGGCCGGCACCGGTGAGGACGAGCGTCTTTTCAGGGACGCGGGCGGCGTCGAGGGGAGGCGGGAGCGGTGCGGCAAAGAAGCGGCGGAGGGCGGCGACAGCGCCGGGGATGGAGACGGCCGATGGGGGCGCGACGGTCGGAGCTGCGAGGATATCCGTATACGGAATCCGCAGGAGTGGTTTGGGCATGTGAGTAGGGATACGGGCGGCTGAGCGATCGAGCGGTGGACGGTGATGATGGCTGACGAGGCAGCACGGTGGGTTGGGGGCGCTGTGAATGACGTAGTTGCGGCGACGTGGGGGAAGGAAACGGAGCTTGGAGGGGGGCCAATTGAGCAAGATGCTGGTTTGATGAGTGTATTGCTCCAACGTGAAGTCTTGAGAGCCAATGAGGTAAACGATTGTGTGCTCTGCTTGGCGTCTTGAGGGTTTTGCCGCGAGAAATGAGGTCAGATGAGATGAGATGGGAAGAGAATGGGTGATTAGATTTCCAAGGCGGCGAGTCGAGGGTTCTCCGCATGAGTCTTCCAGGGTCCACACTGGTGGTTCACGCCAGCTGCACCCATTGATGCCACACCTGCAGCCATAGCCCACCAACTGCAACATACCACTATCGACATTGATGGGGGCACTGAAGAGCAGTTGGACAATTTGTTGGGGATACTAGGTCTCTTGAGGGAGCCGGCGTGCAATTTGTAAAATACATAAGTAGAGATGTAATTGATAATCATGCAACAACTGCGGAAAATGGTCTGCTTAGCAAGCTGAAATACGCCATTGGCTTCAACCCTGCACAAAAGCCCAACAGACAAGAGCGCAAAGAAAAAAAGACTACTTAATAAATCAGGAGAAGAGATGATAATACTCCGTAAAACGAAGGGAATTAAACTTTACCCTTGCCTCCCCCCCCGTGTTCCGCTTCCGATACGCTGAATCGCGCATCACAACCTACATAGCCTGCAGCCTACAGCACCTGCCCCCGTTTGTCGTCTCGTTGTGGAGGCTTCACGTCGCGGCGATGTTCGGTCTCCGTCAGGCCACAACGCCATGGCTCGTGCCAGCCGGAGGAAATTGGTGCATTTGATCTTCCTTTCCGTTCCTCTCAGTCTTTTTCCTCTTATCCTCTTTCCGTCATCTCCTTGTTCCGACTGAAGCCTCAACACGTTTTGCAGCCCGGGTCGAACTCACCCAGCCCTGTATCGACCGCCTAACTTTTCGCCCATTTCAAATCTGCTCACCCGGAACCGCCAAACCCGACAGCAGACCCCGCGTCCAGCGCTACCGACAGGCCCTACAGAGGTACCTTACCTGCTACGACTGGCTTGACGACAGCCATACAAACAGCTGTTGGTGCTGCTGCCCCCAATGTTCCGAGCGTCAAACAATTCCCCGCTGCCATCGTCCTCTATTTTCTGTCTGCATCTTTCGATTATCGTGCTGTAGCCCCCTGAAGCACCCGAGTCCAGAGCTGTCGCGTACGTCGATTGATACATGCGCAACCTCGCCACGTACCTCTCTATTACGCAAACGATCGCCGCGTACGCAAACGATTGCCTCCTCCTCGGCCTCGACCCCCCGCCATGTCGCGCCAGGCTCGTCGCTCTGGCCGCCTGGCGGTCACTTGGTGCCTCTCAGTGACGCCTCCCGCCGTGGCCGTGGCCGCAATCAATGGAGGAGCCAGAGGAGCCAGCCTGGGAGAATCTGCGGGGGCGCCATCTCCCAGTCACAGCGCCTCCATCTGCACAGCTGCCACTACAGCTATTGCTAGCCCTCTGGTTGGTCCGCCCGCCATCAGCACCACAACCGCCACTACCAACTGTGGAGGTCCAAGCTCATGCCCTCGTCCCTCGACGCTATGCATATTACGAATACCACCACACCTGTCTGGCCTCCTCGTCGACTCCCCGATATCAAAGGCCCCTGTCCGCTTCCCCGCGTCGCGTCGCTCTTTTTTTCCTTTTTTCCCTCCATCACTTTCACGTCAAAACGTCCGCTCCTACCACGTATACTGCTCCGATTCTAACCTCCCGTCCGGCCTCTCCTCCGCCGTCCTCCATCTTGCCCCGACTCTCACGCGCCGCCGTCTGCGCAAGCTCGTCGTCGCCATGGGCCACAGTCACAGCCACGGTGGCCACTCCCACCATAATCACGACAATTCGTATCTCGTTTCCGCCAAGAAGAATGACCCTGGCGTTCGCATCACCCGAATCGGCCTCCTGTCCAACCTACTTATGGCCATTGCCAAATTCATCGGTGGCTGGACCTTTAATTCCAAAGCCATGGTCGCCGACGCGTGGCACAGCATCGCCGACATGGCCTCGGATATCCTCACCCTCGCGACCGTCTCTTGGAGCATAAAACCGCCCTCAGATCGCTTTCCGCTGGGTTTCGGTAAAGTGGAGAGCCTTGGATCGCTTGGCGTTTCTGGCATGCTACTGGTTGGAGGTGTCTATATGGGATGGGACAGCGCCATTAGTCTTTTTGCCCACTTTGATCCCGAAAGAGCCCATGATATTCTCGAGCACGTCGGTCACGGTCATGGACACAGTCACTCTCACAACCCAGCGGATCTCGGAATTCCCAGTGTGCACGCTGCGTGGCTGGCAGCCGGAACCATTCTCATCAAGGAGTGGCTCTACCGCGCAAGTAAGCAATTGACTCGAGAATGACAATGTAAAACACTTCTAACACACATTATAGCTATGAAAGTTGCCCGCGAACGCAAATCTTCGGTCCTCGCTTCCAACGCGATCCACCACCGCGTGGACAGCCTGACCGGTATCGTCACCATGGCCGCCATTGTTGGCGCCAATGCCATTGACAACGCCGCTTGGCTGGATCCCGTTGGTGGTCTGCTCATCTCCATCATGGTTATCCACGCCGGCTTCGACAACACAAAGTCGGCACTTTACGAGCTCATCGATCAGACCATTGACGCCGACGTCAAGGGCGCCATCCGCAAGCAGGCACAGAGCGCCCTCGTACACGTCAGCGACGGCCACGAGGCCGAGCTGCGCGACGTTAGCGGGGTCAAATCGGGCCAAAACTACCTGGTCGACCTCGAGATGGCGGTTCCCGCCGCCTGGAACATGAGCGACCTTGCCGATGTGGAGAATGCTGTCCGCACCGAGGTGGGCGCTCGCGTCCGCGGCGTTCGCCGGGTGCGCATCCGCTTCGTCTCCAAAGATGCGTCGGTCAATGAAAAGTTTGATGACTTTGTGTACACCAATCTAGATGCGGATCCAGAAGACCACAAGCACGAGAATGGCGCTAACGAGGACCATGACCACAAGCATTAGAAACATGTACATCATGTAAAATAGACTCAAAAGTTTTGGCTATGTTGAACATATAGGCACAGCTGCTGTGCTTGGTCTCACAGCATAATGCGTCGTGCGACGTGCATCGTACCGCTGACAAGACGTCAGTCGGGTGGGCAGTGTTGCAGAGGTGCCTCACTAGTCGTCAGCCACAAGGCCGAGTAAGATGCCAATGGGTTCTTTCTCTGCAATGGGTAGTGTTTGCAAGAGGTGGTCTTTCTTGTGTTAGCCATCCTTTTTTTAATCGGTCGTGTTTTCCTCGTCTGATTACTCATCCTTTCCATAGTTCTAGATGGTTGATCATATTTACACAACTCATCATTGGATTAGATGACACACTCGCAGTGAGAACAGTCGAGCTGAAATTGCAAACTACTCAGCCCACAACCCCCACTCCTCATCTTGTCCAACATTTCCCCAATTCGCCCATGATGCGTATGATTCGCCTTTACTTCCGCGTCCAGCCTTCCCCGCACCCCTCTATCCTACAAGCGCCGCATTCTCATTGGCGCTGTTGTAGCAAGGACCCTTTGGAGGGGCACAAGTAGCCCGCCATGCGTTGTGTTGACACCATGGTGGGGGACTGCCATCACTGCAAGAGTTGACGCTTCTGTATCTGCGATATATACTCGTTCGACTCTTCTCCGACCAGAAACCAAGCTGACAAAAGCTACAACTGGAAAAGGCCCAGTAACATTGAGTTTGTGCTCGTAAGTGCGTGAGCGGATGACATTGGACGGACAACTACTGACATCGGGAATAGCGAGTGTGCAATTCTGAAGTCATAGAACTCCAGTTTTAGAGCCCGGCAATGCAACGTCTTTCCAAGCACATACGTTTCTAGAATACATTATTGTTGCAACACCATCCGCCGCCTCGGCTTCTCTTCCTTTCTCATAACGCATACACAGCGAATCGGTTCCGTCCTACAGAAGATCGGCCAACGGACCGAGCGCCTTCATCATGGCGGCCGACGACGACGGCCCTCTCTACCTGGGCTTTGACCTGTCTACGCAGCAGCTCAAAGGCATGTACAACTTATTTTCCCATTCTTTTGCTCAAAGCGCCACTATTTTTACAAAGTATACTAACAATTTTCTAGCCATTGTCGTAGGCTCCGACCTGCAGACCGTCGCCCGGGCGCACGTCGACTTTGACGCCGACTTTGGCCCCGCGTACGGCATCACCAAGGGCGTGCACGTCCGTCCGTCCACCGGCCAAGTCTACGCGCCCGTCGCGCTGTGGCTCGACTCGCTCGACCTCGTCCTGGCGCGCCTCGCGGCCGCCGCGACGCCCCGCCGCATGGCCCGCATCCG